ACTCTTTCTTTGCTTTAGGTGAATTTGTTCATCAAAGCTAAGAGGATTAAAGTCTTTCCTTTGTCTTTAGGTAAAGAAAGTGTCAAACTGTGTCCAAGAACTGAGCAATAATGTCTACAAAGAGCCCTACAAAGAGCCCTCATCCTTCCTTTTGCCTTTCTTGTTTCCTAGGAAAGGGTATAGATTATGCAAGGGGGGGAGGGGTCATGGGATAAGTCAATGGGAGTGACATTTATAAGGGGACTGTGCTGCCAGGTGAGATGGAAGTTGGATAATAGTAAAGAATAGTCTGTTTCCTTAAGCTGTTGCCCTAGCAGTAGTTAGGTGTTCTCAACACAACACTTGACTCAACAGCATTTCTAGGCTATACTCTTATACCACCAGAACAGGTACAGGAATTTGTCCCTTGAAGTGTAAGAAAGAAGAGAACCCCAAAGAGTGACCTTTTCAATTTCCAATAGGCTTTTCCCTTCTCTCCATGGACGGGATTTGTCTGTAAATAAGAAATAGCATTGTTTACTGTGGCATTTCACATGGGACATGTGCGTGATAGAGCAGTAGAGCGCTCAAAGCTCACCATTTTCGATATTAACTGCACTGTATAGGTCCCATTTTTAGAAACTGTGCTACCAATAGATTGAAAACAACTTTGTGAATATCTCATTAACCAACTGAGTTCCCTTACCTCCAAAATGTGGGGATCTCCTCATTCATTTTTTATTTGTTCAAAAGGAGTGTACTTGGGGCAAAAATATTCTAAATTGCTCAACTGTTGGATCCTACATATACAATTATTTCTGATGTTTTCTGAGCTTATTTTGGAGGAAAAAGAAGACAACTGACCTTTCATTAAATAACATGTATTTGAATTTCTTAAAACTTGTAGCCATATGGGAATGGCTTAGTTATGTATACTTTCTATCTTCTGAGAACACCATCACATATTCAAACAGCAAAATCTTACAGGAAGAGATATCGTGAAGATTTATGACATTCTGTGGACACCTTTGGGCCATGATCTGATGTAGATCTGACTTTGTTTTATATCAGTTTTTCTTCTCTACTTATCAGTAGATGGGACCAGATGATGTCATCATCTGTCTGATTAGGAGATTACCTCATGCTTTGGTCCACATTTTCTTAAATGAATTATATATATTAGAGGTGTGCATTTATAGGGCAATGCTGATCCTTATTTATATCATTTTCTAGTCAGACTTGTGCTAACACCTTCTGATATTTTTCAAAATCAGTAATATGGTACCCTTTTAAACTTTAAAAAAGGACTGAAGTGCAATACAGAAGCAAAGCGTGCAAAAAAAAAGAGCTATATGTCAGCAGAAGTAAAACGTTCTCAAACATAGAGATAGATACATGGAGATAGAAACTCCATATATACATAGAAAGGAGTGGATGGATAGAAACTTCATCTATAAGAGCTTGTTCTGCTTATAAAGGGTTTGCAAAGCATGCACGCCATGTAAGGACTTCATATGGCCTTTGTGGCACAAATTTCTACAAGTATTTTCAACTGTATAAGCACATTCTCAAAAGGCCAGAATGTGACTCCAAACATATTCTTTTGTTTTTGATTTCCACGAAGTGATGAACATCCTTAACTCTTACTCGTAGCACTGGGACATAAGTAGTGTGCAAAAGATACTCAGCTCCTCAAAATTAGGCCTTTATTTGTATACAGCAGTGTAAATGGAGGAAGTGTCTAATTAAAAAGCAACAGCCTGTCATGAAAGGTTCCTTGTCTAGGAAGTACAATCTCCTTTTCGTCCTGGCTTTTGGTATTCTTAACACTTAAGAATAACACTTGGTCAATTACTCATTAATTGATAGATAAATATTTTTTGTAGTAATATTAGGTACCTAAATGAGCTGAGTCTTCTAAGAGCAATTTTAAATATAATTTAAGGGAATTGTGTGGCAAGCTCCTATGAAGTTCAATAGAAATGGAACATTCAGTGCCCTGAAGCCCCTTTGAAACCTCAGCCTTACTAACGGCAGTAGTTAATCTGGCAGCATTACCTAAAGTCTTTATCAAATAATATAGTTACATTAATAGCAATGAGGAAGCCATCTCTCAAAACCTGTTCTCACAAACTTGGGAATATTATTCTATGCATTATGCATTATCACACAATTTTAACTTTCAGAATAAAGGTAGGGGGGTAAGGCATTGTTTCCTTTTCCAAAAATATGTCTTGAATGAATGTAAGACATATGCTGGCAATTTGCTTTGTATACATAAATTCTGCATAAACTTATTAGACAACTAGTGTTCTCTTGCTTCAGTCTTTATGTTGCTATTTAGCATTTTTTTTTCTTTTATATATAATTCTTTTCTTTCAGGATCATATTGTGCATCTATACAATATCTATTCAATATCAGCTAGTGCTTTTTTCCCCCTTAGTTATGTAGGCCAGCTCTGCTACACTTGCTGTTTAAGTATTGCTTCGGATGGAAGTGCTGCTTCCAAATGCCTCAAATAATGCTTTTACAGTATCAGCAGAGTATTTTTTGTAATGTGTGATCAGAATTGTACCTAACAATCTAATGGCATTATGCCATCCACAAACATTTGGAAACATATTGTCATGTATCTTGTGCACACCAATGTAACGTGCCTGCATTCTAAGAGTAAGACCCAGCTCAAGATTTTTCTGTCTGTCTGTAACTTACATGAAGATAACATGATATTTCAAAATATACTACATATTAACTAGGAAAATAACTCCTATCATAGTTATTCAGAAGAGCTGTGCTGCATTTGCCATGAGTTTCATTAGTGAATGTATTTATTTTTTTATTCATTAATTTATAAGCCACCCTTTTCCAGATGCAGTATCTGGGACACTATATATAATTTCACAGTAAATTAAACTAAACTGGGCACAGTGCCCAGAATAGGCATGCATTCACTTGAAAACTAGCTTAAGTGGTCTAAAAATTAAGAACTGGTAGAAAACAGTGGCAAATAATGGTCAGTGATGCACTGACCTGAATAGGAAAGACTTACACTGAGCCCTTAAGACATTAATAACACATGCCATATTCCTTTGCCTAAGGCCAGAGCTTCTGCAGGTGTGCCAATTATTTCGTATGGCACAGTAGTACAGCAGATAGCTATATGGCATGCAAGTCAATCCTGCTTCTACTGAAGTCAACAGTAATACTCCTGTGACCTCAATAAGAGTGTGGTAGGACCATTGATTCAGTTTAAACATTGTTAACTACAATAAGCTGAATTAAAAAGACCACAGTACATTGCAGTTGCATTACATATTTTACAATAGATTTATTCTAACTGAGTTTAATTTTTGTTCCTTAGGGCTCTTGCTGATGTTATGCGACCTCAGGGTGCTTGTGCAACAGATCACATGGAAAGAGATCTAAATATTGTAGTTCATGTACAACACTATGAAAACATGGAGACAAGGGCACCTGCAAATAACATACGTAAGTTGCATTATATTTTACCAGCATTTTGCCATGGTGGTATATTCAAGTGGTTATGACTGAAGGAGACAGCACGTGGGATTTTGTAAAATTTATATATTCTTGTGTTATAGTTGAATTAGCATCAAAGATTTTAAGGTTGAAATGGTGCAACATTGGCAATTGGCATTTAGAATTTAACATTAAACTTCTGCATTTGTTTGGAATTAATATTAGTAGTTGCCTGACATTTATTATGCACCTTCATATCATTTTAAAAGAAATTTTCATTTAGTTAATAAGATTATCACTTCCATGTTTTGGTGTACTTGATTGTTACTTTTGTACTCCCTAAGACTACAGTAAAATTAGAGGCTATTTAATAAGGCTCTAAAAGTCCAAGAAGAAACTATTTTATTCTGTGAAAGTTCTTATGGTGCCATTCCCAGAATGCTTTTCAGAAAAACATTAAGGAATAAGACTTGAATTTGTCACAAGAACTTCTTTCTTCCTCCTATTTTCAAGTGAAAAATTATGGGGGGGATTTTATTTGGTTTTTATAACAATATTATGTATGTATTTTATACCTTCTGTATTATATTCTCTAGTCATTGAAGACCAAATAGAGAGTACCTTACATGTGATATGAAATGTAGTGAAGTTTCAAGTAGTACTTTGATCCTGTTAAGAGTTTTACAATATTGGAACAGCCCTTGAGAGAGTTCTTCTTTCCTAAAGAGATGAAGTTTCCTCTAGGGAAAAGCGTTGTGTATTTGCAATGGTACAAAGGTACCTTTCTGCGACAAAAAGGTACCTTTCCGACATGTTAGGCTTGTTATATGTTTCGGCTTGTTATATGGTTTAAGTCTTTTCAGACCTTTTGCTTTTTTATACATCTTTGCATAACTATAGAGAGCTGATGGTTTACTATATTAGGACAAGACAACAATTCTGCTTGAACTGTACTATGAAACTGTTATGAACCCATCCCATACTATTCCTTGGTAATAAGGTACTACAAGGAAGATGCAGAACTCAGAATATTTATGCATTTCTGATGAATGCACCCCTTTGGGTGCTGAAGGTAGAAGCTAGGTGATTTCCTGTTCTGTAAGTGAATGGTATTAGCAAGACAGTGAAAGCTACAACTTGTGGGAAAGTTACCATGTATAGTGAAGCCTGTCCACCTATTCTCATCTAATTGCACTGTTTCCCAAGGAGCTGCTTGCATCCGGACCTGTGCTGTTATCTTGTACTTTTAGGGAAAATTCAGAGCTTTGCAGCACCATTAAGTCTCCTGTGAACTTCCATTCAATGAGATACCAGCTCCCAAGAGGAATGGAAAGCAATTAGGTACGCTGTCCCTAGAATCTGGGTTAAATGTAGCACCCAGGAATTGTACAGATACCTATTTAATTGCTCACTTCTAGATATTTCAGAAATCCTCACAATGGAATATTTAATATTGAGGATCTTATGCAGTGTAATATATGGAAAGAACACAGTGTATCTTTAGACTCCAAGAATTTCTTGGCTTTATCAGTTTTAGGGCCTGCTTCTGTAAAAATTTCCACTTGTGCAATGGAGTGAGATTACACATCTATACAAGGGCTAGGTTATCTCTACTGGTGCCTTAGACATTCTGGGCTGACCCTCAGTGGGTATAAATTACAAGAGGCCCATTTAACAGTTTACAACAGCTGAGGACAGGCCACTTTTTAACATTTTTCTTTCCTATTTCATAAACGTAAACTGAAAAGAAATCTAGAAAACGTCCAGACATCAACGTGACAGTTCTGTCAGGGTTATCACGGTGTTATGTAAACAATTTTAAATGTTGTTGTTATGTGGCTGATGGATCATTCACCATTGCTTTTACTGACTTCATAATGTCAGAAAAATACATCCTTAGTAAAAAGAGTATTAAACCACTCAGCACAATTAAGTGGTGTTTTTGAGCTGTTACAGTCTGCTGAGTGTGTATACATTTATATTACAGTATTCAGAGGGAAGTCCTTATCAAAGATATTTACATGGATAAGCAGAAGCCAGTTTTCTAAATCTAACATCTTCATTATTTGAAACTTTTATGGTGGAATTATGAAAGGTAGGAAAATTGAGTGGTACATTCAGAAAAATTTAATAATGCATCATTGTCCAGTCCTAGCGTTAGAGAAATGAGAAACCTTTCTGATATCATTTTACAAGCAAATAAATTAGAATCTAGTACATGGCTTTTATAGAAAATTATCACAGCCATTATGCATGCCGAGCAAGTGAAATGGTACAAAATTATAGCATCAGATGATGACTTCTGTAGTTCTTTTTAAGTTACAACCTTCAGGAACAACTCAAATTGAGATTTAAATGGAATTTTAAGTTTATTAAATTTGTCCCTCTTGCATTGTTCCAAGACCTAAGGCAGCAAAGGGTACTTTCATTGCCACTGTGTGCATTCTTTTTTTATTAACTCTTTTTTCAAATGCATTAAAGACAAACTGTTAAAGGTAAAGTGTCACTCATGTTTTAATTTAAACAATTATTTAGTTGCGCCTTCTGACCACTTGAAATGCAATTGTGTGGGTGCTGCCAAAATTCCTCAGAAAGAGGAGCTCTAGCAAAATTGAATACCTTGCATAACAATGAAACTGAAAAATGATATTTAAGTCTCTAGACTTTATGACTAAAGAACAGGTATTTCCTATGTGGCCTCAGATTAGCACTGTTACTTGCCAAAATTAGACGTCCATCAATAGGCAAATTTCCTAAGGAATAACAGTAAGTGCAAAATGTTTTCTGGAGGTTTTTGCAGCCCAAAGAAATGATACTTCCATTCTTTTTTTGAATATCCAACTTGGCAGATCTGGTAAAAGACAGACTTTGTTTTGCCCATGTCTAGATCCAGACAGCGTAAATCCTAATTGCTTAAGCCTACTATGACCATTAATGCTTGTTACTATCTCTACTTCATTTCTAATAATGTGCCTTATTTTGGATTACTTAGCAATCTTACAGTGCCCTACATTTTCCTTCATCAACTTGCAGAAGCACTGAATGGTGAATGGGAAAAGAACAGAAAATATCCACCAAATAACATAAAAATCAACCATTATAACAGGGAATGTTAAAAACAAATTAATTCTAGATAATGTTTTTACAAAATCTTATTGCAGAATCTGTTGTATTACTTACATAGTCTAAAGAGGACTGCTGCAGAAGCAGAACTCTAGATTCTTTTTCTTTTGCCAATACATTCCCATTGATGATTATATTAGGAGTCAGCAATTTAACTTGTTCAGATTATATCGTCAGTGCAGTGCAAGATAGGAGGCTTTCTAACTATGGCCCTCATTTCTGGAACATGCTTCCCACTTTTATTTCTAAATCTCATTCTGAGACAGCATAGTAAAGCAAATGCATATGCTACTGCTACCAACCTTCATTTGTTTTAAGTGTCAGCAAAATATCAGTGCCTGTATCCTCAACAATAAGGTACCCGCCGGTACAGAATCACATTCTTAGTGCATTTTTGCTACCTACAGAGATTCTCAAAGCTGCAGGCAGCTAAACAGTGAGGCTACTTCTACATTATGGAATTAATTTTTATGTCAAAATATTTACTTACTGAAATTTTAATTGAGTTCTGAAGAGTAATGTGTTGTTTCCCCATTAAAAATATTTATTATAAAGTTTACAGATGTGAATAAGTGCATTAGCAATGCTCAAGTGAAGGATATTTCTGTTATACCGTATTACATGGCCAGTTGTTATCATGGCCAAAAATTTGGAGCCTCTATGGTAGTGGTTATAAAGAAAGTTCATTGTATTGGATTGAACATTAAAGAATTGTTTGCTGCTGCATGTGATTGATAATAACACTGGGTGTGTTTTAACTGCTATTCCAGACAACTTTGTTAAGGCACCTGTGATGCATGGTTTGTACATTTTTTTCTGATTTGAGAAATAGGACAAGAGTGTAAGACTATTCTTTTTAAACTACTGTATGTTAGAATATGATTTTATTTACCTGAATACAAGCCAAGGTTCCGCCCCCCTATCAGCATTGGGAAAAGTCCCTCCTCTTACATTTGCATACAAGGAAACCTCATTATATACACTGCCTGACCATAAACTGCTTCCAAAAGTACATGTGCTCAGTAGTGGAAACCAACTAGGAAGCTGATAAAATATAGCTACCTGAGCATGACTATAAACCCATAACTCATATTAGGCAAATATGTTGATGGGAAGCTACCACAAGAATAGGCTAACAAACCATATCTGAATAAGATATATGGTAATGCCCATTAAGTGTAGTCCCCCTCGGCACCAACTCATTTTCAAGTCATGGTGAGCCATTACATTGAATATATTTTGGTGACTTCTTCACTCCCACAGCTGAGCTGCAGGTACAAAAGTGCTACTTAAAAGTGTATTTAGGGAGTTCCTGTGCTAACACTTGCAGCAGGTTTAAAAAAAGTAATATGCATCAACTCTTGATGAACTAAATCTATGGGCACTATATGCAAGTTACTACAGGTATATTTATTTCCAAGTCTGTGTTTTCAAAGTTGCTCCTCACTTTCTGGTGCTCGGGGAGAGCTGGGTCTTGATAGTAAGGCGGAGGATGGAAGAGGCTGTTCACTAGACAGTAATCAAAGAAATTTGGAAAATCAGTCTGTTAAGATTGTATAACAGGGATGGGCAATTATTTTGGCTGGTGAGCTACTTAAGTTTTGGTGAGCTGGCAAGGGCCATGCACATAAGATCATTCATAAGATACCCTTTTAACGAATTATAGATAAAAAACAAATCGTATACTAAAAGTCAAACATCTACTAAACTTCCTTAGCCTGACGAAGGGTTTTTGAACCTGAAAGCTTGCTTAATAATTGTTTTCCAACTATTTAATTTGGTCTAATAAAAGATATCAGATTCACCCAAAGAACCTTGTCTCCAAACATCTACTATAACATTTTAATTGTATTCAATATATTTTTGTCCTGATTTGTGGGGTTTTT